TGACAACGCATGTACATCTATATAGTTATCATTGAAAACAATTTAATGACTTATTTTCGTCAGAACTTGCTGCGTATGGTGAACTGACAACTCCTCTGACTGTCAGACTTCTTAATGCGCATGCAGGCCTGGTACTCACTGCATGTATGCTATTCTGACAGCGTATGGCTATTTGATCGAACAACGGCTCTCAGTGAGTGACACTCCAGTCCTATCTAATAAGTAAAGAGCCGTGGAGAAGAATCGACTGTTTCTGAATGTCACATCACTATATTGCAGACTTTTGGACACAGCGTTGTCCTATATGTGCGACAAGGCAGTCAACACCTCCGCACAATAACTCAGACAGTGAGTTATAACATTTTTCACCACAAATTCTTGTGTCTCTGTACAGCTAGCTTTGATAACATCATGTTAACGGATCTTACCTTCTTTAAGCTACTTTTCTAAGTGACGAAAAAAGTTAGACGTTGTCCCCACCGTCTGTGAAAGCAAAGCGATGTTGAGTTAGCTGTGGCCATTGGATTTCTTACTATTTATGCAGCGCTATTATATTACTGACGATTAAACAAGCATTTTCTGCCGCTGAGAGGAAACCACTGCGCATGTCCTGGAGCGCCGCGCGCGAGTGAAAGGTGGGGAGGGGAGGGGGAGAAACAAGTAGTTGCTTGGATTTTAATCGGTGCGTTTTGCATCCACTGAAAACAAAGATGTTAACAAATAAACTGGACAGTATGCTACACGTTTAGTGATATTTTCACAGTTGCGGTCTCGACTGGTCTTGAAATAAAATGCCGAGTCCTCAGAGCCCGAGACCGAGACAAGACCGAGACCAAATGCGGTCGAGTCCGAGACGAGACCGAGACCATCAGAAAACGGTCTTAAGACCGGTATCGAGACCAAGACCGATCTCGAGTACCACAACACTGCTATCCACCATCTGAAATCAGCGTCCTGGCATTCCAGGTCGGTCTGTTGTGGACAGGTAGATTTGGAACATGATTTTAAAATCTTCTGGAGATGGCTACAACAAAAGCACATTTTTTGAATGTATTTAAATCTGCTGCGATTCAGATGAGTTGTTGATGTTTCTTGTTGTAACGTTTAACCTGTGCTGGTCATGTTGCAGTTTTAGAGTAAAAGGTTTCTTTAATAACCTACTTAGGCTAAAGCTGCTGTTTTCTTCTCCTCAGTTCTGCTCCGGTTCTCAGCCCATCATGCGGGTCTACGAGACTGTCCTATATGGTCAAGAAGTGATGCATGTTGTTCTGGTCCACAGTCCAGCTAAGCATAACTTCGCACACTACCCTTTGCTGATTGATGACCCAGATGCTGTCTGTGTTTACAAAGACGGACATTTTATCTGGAGACCAGAGGCCATGTGTGAGAAACACTGGTAAGAGCAGCGAACAGGAATGGTTCGGCCTCCTCAGGTTGATGAAGGTTTTGCCTCATCAGTGGTGGGAGTGTTTTTACACAATAGCTACTTACACAACTGTGGTGGGAAGAAGGTACACACTGCTGTAAATCTAGTGTTTCTTGTAATTGGGTAGCGACACACAGAATCTACTGCTGTGTTTGGATCATGGTTCTGTCAATGACCCAGTTTGGATCAAGCTTAATCTAAAATCCTTTCAGAACCTGCTGAAGACCTCAGATCCGTTTTCTTTTGACTCTCAGTGTTCACCATGTCTGTAGCTGTAAATGTCTTTGTTTTCTCCTCCTTCCAGGTTGAAGCTGGTCTGCAGACCGGACAGCCAGCAGCTGGAGGCCTGTGGTGTAGCCGAGGCTCTCTCTTATGTCTGGGACAAGGTTGCTGTTGCTCTGGATGTTGGGAAGACACAGGTACCCTCCCTGCCCACCCTGTGGTGTCATTTATTGATCTTCTTCCCATTGTAGTGTTTTATATATATATATATATATATATATATATATATATATATATATATTATATATATATATATATATATATATATATATATATATATATATATATAAAGCTATGACTAATCCATCCGTAACAACATGCTCAAGTTCTTCCACTGTGGATGTTGATAATCTAAAATTTATTTCTGAACCCCAAAGACCTGAAGGACCCAGAAAACAATCACACAATGATTACAGTTCAACACAGGTCAGAATTTTAGAAGATGGTGTTGATGAATCCAGTCCATTTCTATCCTAATGCAAGGAGATGAAAACTCTCAGGAGCATCAGGACAAAAATTTTATGTTTTGGTTAACAGTATAATTTTGATCACATCATTTAATCAGCATCTTTTCCATGAAAAATATTGTTTCTGTCATAATTTTTCCATCTGCAGGTGCTGAAGTTTGATGCTGATCAACTACGAAACAACCTGAAGTACTGTCTCCTAGATGACATTAACTGCCTTCCAAAGGATCACATACCAGTCAGTTTTGATTATGCTAAAACGGTGGTGAAGAGGCTGTGGCCGGGCTGGAGCGGTCCTCTGGAGGAGGAGAGCTCACTGCGGCACAGTTTATCAGGTAGACCAACGACACTCCATCCTGGGAAGGACTTAAGCTAAGCTAGGATCATGTCTATCTCTTTTTGTAAAACCAGAATGAAGTATTGCATGAAAACAGTGTTTTAGGAAACCCTAGGCTGGTGAACGAAGGAAATGAACAAAGTTGTTTAGTAGGCCACGCTTCCAAATATTTAGCAATTAAAGTCGGAGCAAGAGGAATGCTTAAGACATTTTATTCTGTTTGTCATGGACCTACTCCCCACCGGGTTGTTTACCTCCAGTAAGCTTCATCAAGCTGCTGCCTTACATAAATCATAACCAAACGTTAGTGATTGGGTAAAATCAAATTCACACTTTTAAAACTTCAATAGAGTCCATGCCTTCAGGAAACAATCCTCTCAATAGCTGAGAGCCCAGATCTTCTGTATGAAGCAAATCATAAAACAAGCGACTGATTTTTACTAAGATAAGATTGTTTAGCACATCTACCCAAATACACGCCAACAACCCCAAAAATCTCTAACTAAAAATGAAACAAAAGTGTAGAACAAGAAAACCTGTATTGTTTCAAGAAGGACTGAAACAATACAGAAAAAGAATCAACCCAAGAACAGCTGCAGAATTAATCATAATCTAAAAATGTGATGGTAACTTATCTTTAATAATATTTAGATTGCAGATCTGGACTTCATGTTCCCTCTGCTCCAGTTTCAGGCCTGCGCCTGGTTCTGGTTGGGTGGGCTGGAGTTGGGAAGAGCTCTAGTGGGAACACCATCCTGGGAAGAAACGCCTTCAGGACCAGTCCACCTTTTGGTAAACCACCTTAGTCCTAATATGATGTTAGAACAGTTTTACATCGTCTTCCTTCCACCACCAAGAACACCAGACCTGTCTCCCTACCCACCACCGCATCTACGGCAAAGACCCAAACTTCCTGTTTTCTGGTTCTGACGAGATCTGAGAAGTGCTGTAGTGAGGATTATAACCCAGAGTCAAATATTTTACAGTGTTTACTTGGAGAAAGTTGATAACATTCACCGATTTTTAATAATTAAACTTGATAGGAATGTCCCACTGTCATGATTGGGGTTTTGGTGAGGTGAGGGAGGTCGCAGGCAGACCCAGGTAAAGTGATGATGATTTAATAACAATAATCCACGGGACAGAACAACGGGAAGCAGACTGGTTACACACGAGGAGGATCCGACAAGAGACAAAGACAACAGGTGGGACTAAATACACTGGGAGGGTAATCAAAGAAACGAGACACAGCTGGGATCAATCGACAGGGAAGACAGAGACTCACAGGGGAACAGGCTAATAAACACAGAAAAACCTCAAAATAAATACATAGAAAACAGATCACAACACCCAGAGGAGCAGGAAACACAGCAGCAGCACCAGAACCTAATTTCTTCCCTTAAAGATCCAATTTTGACCCAGTGTTTTTATTTGTGCCTCAAAATAAAAACTAAATATTCCTTTTATTGACAGATTTGGTTTGTCTTACCTCAGCCTGATGTAAACCAAGATCAGAGAAAACTTTAAGCTAAGATTTGTTGTTTACATCCTCTACATTATCTGAGTATCTCTGGTCATCTCATGTTCAGGGATAAAAGCTGGTTTCTGTCCTCAGGTAGAAGGCGCTGCTATCTGCAGAGAGGCAACGTCTTCAGCAGGGAGGTGACCGTCATCGACACTCCAGCCCTCCCAGAAACATCCGACCCTGAGGTGAAGAAGGAGATCTTCAGGTGTATCAACCGGTCGACGCCGGCGCCCCACGCCATCCTGCTAGTCGTCAGACTGGGGTTCCTCACTACGCATGTAGAGGAAACAGTGAAGCAGGTGGAAAAGATGTTTGGAGAAAATGTGTGGAGGCGCACCATGATCCTGTTCACCCACCAGAACCAAGCAGAACCAGACATCCAGAGGCATCTGAAGGAGAATGAAAACCAACTGACACTCCTGTTTGGGAAAGTAGGCAACAGATTTCAGGTCCTCAACAACAACCCGCATCACAGAGACGTTCAGCAGGTCTGGGATCTGCTGTTTGAGGTGAGGGAGATGCTGGTGAACAATAAACTGGTGTAAACGGGGCAGAACCACAGTTTCAGTGTTTCAGAAGAAGGTAGTAGGGAATGTTTTAGAGATTAAATGGCTCGGATCATCTGTGTTTTCAAGAAACTGTCATACAGGGATGGAAAAGCACCTTCACTGACATGACCTCTGCCTCAACACATGATAAGCTCCTGGTTTTTCAGGACATAATTCATTCTCAGGGACTGCAGCAGAAATTTATCACACAGAGTAACAACAGAGATTTCCAAGTGTTGAAAAAACATCCAAGTGAACTCTTGTTTTTAGCGAGAGCAGCTTCATGCTGCAGGCATCTTGTGAGTCGCATGTGGCTCTTTGACAGATCCTGCATCTTTGTTTTTCTAAAATTTGTGTTTAACAAATGTGATTCTGTGACAATACTGAAATTTCCCATAGTTTTTGAATGCAGCACTGGCACAAGCAGTGTAAAGTGCATAATGTGGTAATATTTTGTTAAGCTACTGCTACAAGTCTGCAGTAGTTGAGTCGTTCTAGGAGGAGAGACTTTAAGTGACAGATGAGAGCTGAATCATCTAGGATTCAAATTTGTTTCCATAGTAACAGATTTTCTTAACATGTCTGTGAATTTCTATTGGCTGCATGATTTCACATCGATGCACTCTGTGCTGCATCCAAGCTCCAGATTGTGCCGCAGACATGGAAGTGAAGCTGAACAAGCTGCTGCTGCTGCGCACATAACAGGATACAAGCGAACCTGAGTCAAAGTTTGTGCGGCAGGTTCTGGTGCTGCGAAGGGGAAAAGAAATCACCGTTGTGCACACTGCGGCGATGTGCAGAATGGCAGAGATTTTTCAACTGCAGAAAAAACAGAACAAAAGTGAGAAAAATCAGAAATAAACAGATTCCCCTGAGAGTTTAAATTAATAACGTTATTTATTATGGTGCATCAGATCCGCTGTGTTTAACCTTTGAGTGAGATTTAACTTGTACTAATGCTTGAATATTAAATGTCTGCTTACGACTATTGAGCAAGGGTGAACTCAGGAAGTTTTTAGATAGAGCTATTGATGATCTTGGGTGTTACACCAAGAATAATGTTTAAAGTACCATGTAAAATATGCAAATGGTAGAGGTCACCAGATACAAATCTGAGTCATGCCAGAAAATTGTCCTACATGTTTAAAAAATGTCCTGTGCGAGACATTTCCACATCCTCCACTTTGGCAGACGGAGCTCAGAAGTTTTCTGTATGTCTGTGAAATACTTTTTACTAAACTGTCTGGATTTCACTGACAGACATGTGAATGAGTTGCTTCGAATTATAACAGACTACCAAACAAAGACGACACCTGTAAAAAAAAAAAAATAAACAGGTGTTCCACTAAAGCCTGTTTCAGCAGGTAATGTGGTACAAAGCTAATCTTGAAATTGCAGTGTGGCTCTTTATGGTGATGATGAGTTTAATTTGGCTCTTTGCCACATCAGGTCTATAGCATTTACTGCAGTCTTTATGAGACATTTAGACTGGTTGTAGGATTGTTCTAAGGACGGTATTTATCTGGTGTGATTAGGCTGTTTATGGTTCAGCCTTCAGATGTTGGCTGGCTTGGTGCTAAAGATATAAAATTAATTAGAAATGTTGAAAATACAGTGTCCAATGGGTTTTAAATAAAAAAACCATAATTATAGTTGCCATAAAGAAAGTACAGGGTGTCTTTTCTTGACGGCTGTGTCAGTGTCTACATGGTGTCCAGGTCCTGGGCTGAAAATGAAGCCCTGACCATCAACGCCTCACCACATGTTTGTGCTGATAATCTGAGTTTGGTTTCCTCCAAACATGGTTTTGTAAATCATCCCCAAACATCTCTGCTTTGGTCTCATCTGTCAAAAAGTCCTGTTCTTCAGCCCTGGCTGACTGCAGCTGCGCCAAGGAGGACTCTGTGCGCCAGCCATTAAACTGCAGGGGAATTACTTAAGTTAAAGAGCTGGAGGGGTTTTGTTCAGTGAAAATTATTACTGTTTTCATGTTTCATGCATTGATCTCTGAATGAAACTGGATTTAATTAATTTAATGTGTAGGGAGATAAACTTTGCTTTTTGCTGACAGCCTCTGTGTGGGTTTGATTTGTTAAGAATATAATAAAACATTCCCTTTAATTTTATCGAATTGTGCCACTTTTCTTCTGTGCTCCAAACCATACTTTAGATCTTCTGCTTGTGTGACATGTTTAGATTTCAGCTCCAAATACTAGGAACTTTCCTTTAAGAGCTGAGGTCCAACAGCAGTATCCTGATTCAGTCATGACATCTCACCTCCAAACACAAATCCTACATTCAAACACAGCGGTATGGGCGTCTGGTAGGACCTGTAGGAAACGCTGGTTGGAGACTGAAGCTAGGTAATAAAGTAATAAAAGCTTTATATTTTTATCCACAAATAAGTCACAAGGTCATGGTTGAAGGGTCCAGCCTCCTCCACCATGTGACCAAGACAACTTCCCTTCCTCATTGTCCAATCCAGGCTCCCTCTCCCAACCCTGACATAAAAGTTTTGTTTTCCTCAGAAGTGAAACTGAAAAGTCGGAGGAGGGGCTTAGCGTTTGGTAGGGAGGTTTGCCTGGACTTGTAGAGCCTGTAAGCAATTCAAACAGACAGACCGACCGACTCAGATCTGAACTGGATTGGCCATCAGCAGCATCTTTTCTCAGTTTCCTCTGAGCTCTGAACACGTAAGTAACCCAAGCATCCTGCTGTGTCTTGGACCTTGTTATCAAAGATATGGGATTTGTTTTAAACATTTGTTTTCCATTGTGTCCTTGGTGTAGTTTGACATCATCATTACAGTGGGGGGAACAGCAGCAGTCTGTAACAAGCTCAGTATAACATCTGAGCTTGTTCTCCTCAGATGTTATACTGATGTTACTGATGTTATACATTTCATACTTCAACTTTGAAATATGAAAAAGCTTTCCTATGAATTAGACATTTGTAATCTATTTTTTTCATTACTCTTCCTTATCAGAGAGTACAATGTTAGTCAAAATGTATTTTCTCGAACATTTAACTTGCCAGATTCTGTACAATCACAGGTAAGAGCTTCATGATTTTATTGGACATTTCCTAGAGCTGAGATCAACAGGCAGAGCCTGACCAGAAAGGGGCTGATTATTGGTTTGGGCTTCTACGGCACGTTTTTAATAAGCCTGTAATAGATATGTGGCACAGAGAAAACTAAGCAAGAATGCAAGATATGAATATATTAATCTTATTTAAGTCTAAAATAGAAGAGGAGGAAGCTCACCTGGTGAGCAAGGAAAGAAATTAAGGGGCAGAAGTTAATCAGGCGCAGTTTCTTAAACTTACATGTACTGAGCTTTGTTTTCTGTTCAGCTTAGAGTGGTCCCACAGTTTTGACAGTTTTTGTCTCCTGTTTGGCAGCGCTTTTTTCTGTCCCTAGGGTGTGGTATCAGGAATTTCAGCTCTTTTCAGAGAGCCATCTCTTTCAACTTGCAAGATACTCCGAAGTTGTCTGCAGCCCCATATTTCAGCATAACTTGGCAAATAATGTTTTATTTGATAAATAATTTTGCATTCAATGTTCTTTATATGAGAAGCCTTACACTTCCTTAATTTTATGTATTTGTTCTGTTACAGACGCAGATATTTTTGCTCTTGTATAATATTTCAATGGAACTTTTAATTTTTAACAAAAACAAATGAACCGAACACTGCAAACAAACAGACCCATAATAATAATTTACTATAATATATTTAATCAGCCTGATGCTGCTTCTCTTGCAGGTCTCACTTATATTTATGGGGCTCACAGAAAGACTGAGAACTGAGCAGTGAAAGGAAAAAAATTCTCAATGTTTCTCACCAGCTCTCGAATGGTGCTGCTCTAAGAGCTGTGTGGTTATATTCAGCTATTCCTAACACTTATTCTTTAATAATCATATATTATGATTATAACACTGAGGATCTTCTGTTTATCCTGCAGGCCAGAGCTGATTGACTCACTGGATTCTGTCTGAACTGGTGGAACTACTCAGAGAAAGTAGATCCTGACATTCTTGACAAATCGTCTGGTTTTCCATTCTATTCATCTCACGCTGCACCATGGAAAAAAAGGTTTTCCGTCGTCAGCATTTGAAGTTGGAAGACCTAAAAAGGCAACCTGAAGTTCCAGAAACATACCTGGACAAAATCATCCCAAAATATCCCAAACCAGAGTTCCATGTGAGTCTTCTGAAACATGAAACTACAGGATCAGCGCTACGTGAGATCAGGAGGGATGGGGGCTTCAGGAATCCATATGAAAAATCCCTGATATGGTGGAGTCTGGCTGTGGGACCAGACGAGATAAATAACGCAGAGAAGAGGCTCCTGGAAAAGAGTTTCTCAGAGCGGGAGAGAGTGGCTCCTGAGCAGCAGAGATTCCTGTGGAAGTTTGCCACGTCTCCAGCCTTCAAGGAGATGTCCCGGCTGGGCTCCTTCCGCTTCACCTTCCCCCTGCAGGAGGTGCTGACGGCCTATAGAGACCAGGTACCACCTCTCCCCTGGTCACACATCTCATTTTAACTATTGTCCCTTTTCCATTAGCTCTAATGGTCCCGGCTCGGCTCTACTCGGCTTGCTTGGCGAGTATTTCCACTGGCCTTTTTATGAGGCTGACCCCGCTGTTTAGGTCCCTGCTCCAGATCAGGGCCAGCCCGGCCCGCCCTGCTTTCGTGGGTAATGCAAGCCCAGCTTCAGTTCACTGAAAGGCCGTGGGCATGGCCAGACGTAGCAGGAAAGAGAGAAGAAAAACGAACGGCGCAACATTTCAAACTCGCTGCAACACGGACGTGATGGAAGCTTCAAGTAAGTGGTGAACAAAGATGCCGACTTTTCTTTGGATTGGATTTCAATATTCAGTGGCAGTTTGATGGAGCAGTGAAGAATGAGTCATAGTGGAAAATAACACCTGCTTTCCTCCCGCTAGAGCCAGAGATCAACTGTCCTCGTCACAATTGCCTCCAACCGCACATTTTCTTGAAATCTCAGAAAAATCACAGTCTATAAAACAACAGCTCAGCTGTCTCTTCTTTTGTCTCAGAAAAGCAACAACTTTTGTTAAGTCGCATAGCAACAAAGTACTGCGCCTGGAGCCGGGCGCTATACCCTCCATTGCCAGGAGGCGTCACCCTGCTACAGACCGAGCCAAGCCTGTGGAATCGTGTTAACTCCAAAGTAGAGCCAAGCCGAGCCGGGCTGCTGAAGTAGAGCCAGTGGAAAAGGGGCATATGAGACCCAGCCTATTTTCTCCACACTATCCCAGCCACTCTCCGCTGTTTTGAGTTGGACCATCTCTGGGGCATCTCTGCACAGCCTCCATCTCATTTCCTGTCTCTGGTCTTTGCACTTGTTCTTGACTATCTTGGTTTATAACTTTTAGATGTTGGCATAAATAAAAAATTAAGTTAATAATTTATATAAATGTGAGTTCTATTAAAAATTGGTATTCTTTTCCACAGATTTGTTCTGGAGCTGATCCAGTCATGCGGGTTTTACGGACTGTTCTGCATAAACAGGAAGTGCTTTATGCTGTTCTGGTTCACAGTCCAGACTTAAATGAGACATTTTCTAAATATCCTCTACTGAAAGACGACCCGAACGCCGTCTGTGTCTACAAAGATGGACATTTCATCTGGAGGTCAGAGGCCATGTGTGAGACTCACTGGTAAGAACACAGAAACATTTGGCCTTGAAGTTTTACATTTAAAATCAGCCATTTTTTTTACCTCAACAATTTAGAAAATGCCTCACAAATAAAAGCCATTGTACAAAACAAAATGAACATGTCACATCTAAAAATACTTAGCACTTGTGCAAAATACATACATACATATATATATATATATATATATATATATATATATGTATTATGTTTATTTAGAGTCATTCGTGTCTATTTGGAAACTCCAGACATGTAGAAGATGAAAATAAATTATTATTATACTGTTTAATATCAGTTGAATCAATCCCCAGGACAGGGGGGAGAGAATGTGAAGAGTAAACACTAAAGGAGAAAATACATCAATATCATAAAAAGTCACTAAAGTTTATTTTTAAAACACATATAGAATGTGATAAAAAAAAGAAACAAATAGAAATAAGAAGTGAACTAATACAAAATAAGAAAAATAAAATACAAAGCTAAATCATACTAGTCACAAAGTATAATTTTAGGATAGTTCTTATTTTTTAGATGCAACATTTGCCACATTAATCATTTTTTCAAACCATTTATTACAATATTTTTGGCAGGATCAGTACTCCATACAATTATCTTCACACTGCATCTGTGTCTCTTGAGAAGCATTAATATCACATTTCCTGCTGAATCTGCCTCATGTTTTCTTTTCACTGCTACTGAATGATAAACACTATCTGAGCTGCAGAGCCAAGCTTTGGCCTTTAGGTAAAGTTATCACCACTGACCTCCACCCGGAGGAGACATGAATGTGGGTCATTACCAGCATCACTGGTGTCAGCGCTGCCTTCAGTGCTGTGTTTTTTGGTAAGAGAAAGCTGGAGTACTATTATGACAAAACTTTGTTTTATTACAATCAATCAATCAATCAATCAATCAATTTTATTTATAAAGCATCTTTCATGCTGGAAGCACATGTGGAGGGGTGCTATTGGGAGATTGTTTTTCTGAACTTTGTTTGAACCGTCCAAGGTCACAGTCTGCAGGTGCAAATTCCAAAGTTATGAAATAAATAAACTCTTTGTAGAGGGCTGGTGAATATTAAAAGCAATGTACACTCTTCTCTTCACTCTCGATTAGTGAGAGTCACAATTGGTCATTTTATTCCTCTCTAGCCAGTGAATAAAATAATAAAAATGCATTTTGATTCATTCTTGGCTGTTTCAATGTTTCACCTTACACTGAAAAAAATAACTCTTTGGATTAACATAAAAAAATCATGGAAAGATTTTCCACCTGATTACTTTGCTTTATTTCAGCACTATGTAATTTTGTTACTCCGATTTAAAGCAAATATGTTGGCTCAACTTAATTTATTAAGGTTATTCCAATTTAAAGGAAATGTGTTGGTTCAACTTAATTTATTAAGGTTATTCCAATTTAAAGGAAATGTGTTGGTTCAACTTAATTTTTGTGGTTGATTCAACTTATTTACT